CTCCTTTCCTTTTGTCTTGGTCTCATTCTTGTGTTCTTATCGAGGCCCAGCTGGCCCAGTTCTAGAGACCCTCAGCTCTCGGACACGTGTGAGTCATGCACGCCAAGAATCCGATATCGGGACATTAGAGCCGGGTGACCAATCACCGATGACTCTCGACTTTGGCCCCCCACTTTGCCGAGACCCAGCGCCCCAAAGGCCCAAGACGGTCAAAAACGTCCACGGGATCAGATCAGATAAGATTACCCGAGGGAGAGAGGGACTTGATTGCGTGCATCACATGTGCGTACGATACTCTTCTCTCTCTCTCTCTCTTCTCTACGGAATCCACCTCGACAAGCACGGCAAGTCGACACAGATTAAAAACACAGAGTCCAAGTGAAGAGCGGGGGCACTTTTTTTTCTTTCTCTTCCTTGGCTGCGGTACTTTTTTGTCTCCTGAGATACTACTGTACCTACTCGGTACATACATACATAGTCGTATATATCCCTCCCCTCCCCCGGCTCCGCTCCGTACCGACCGAGTCAATATACAACCCTTCTGATTACCCCCTTTTCTTTCCAGAGTGCAGCGTCTCTTGCCATTGCCATTCTAAGGTCGATTCTTCCCCTCCTATCACTCTATCGCGCAGGGAACGAGGCGGGGACTTTTGAGAAAGCCAAGGCAAGGAAATCAGGAAAGAGTAGAGTAGAAAGTGGGGTGTGGAAGCAAAGCAAGACAAGGATTCGTCCAGGTCCGGGTGTCAAGGTTACACGGACACGGACAGAGGCACGAGACCAAAATACAGGCAGACAAAACGAGCGAACGGGAAAAGGCAGAAACGCAGACACGCACACCAGGTGAACGGGCAAATATCTCGGGTATAACTGCAACTCCTACACCGACTCCAACACCAGCGTATTCTTGTGGAGGACAGGACACGATGAAGATCTCCTCTCCCTGGACACTGGCGGCAGTGCAGCTCCTGGCCGCGCTGGGTCCGCGAGCCGCAGTCTGCGCTCCCGCTCCCTTTGCGGTGACGGGAATGGGTTCGGAGCACGACAAGGCTGCCGCCCTCTTTGAGATTCATCACCCAGGAATCAAGTACCACGGTCAAGGCCAAGGCCAAGGCGAAGATGGCCAGAAGAAGATGATGGCCCCGTCGTACGACGAGGAAACCCTTTACAAGATTCATCACCCCGTTCCCACGGGGCCAGAGTCGTCCGCCTCCTCCCACCCGGGGATCGAGACGTTGTTCACGCATCACCCGTACACGATTCCTAATCATCCCCTGTCCAAGGAGTCAGAGTCGGGGGAACAAGAGGGAACAGAAGAAGAGGATGGTGAAAAGGGAACCTACCATCACGACTTCCCCACCATGTCCATCCCATCCCGGTACTACTCGACGGTGCTGGGCCGACGGCTCCTTGCGCTGTCGTCGCACGGGGTACTCACGTCGGTGTTCCCGTCGAACCTCTCCGCACCAGGCCACGGCCCGCCCGAAAACGTGGCCGACACTCCCATCGGGCTGCCCGAGTACATCGCGTCGTGCGAGGAACCGAGCGGCAACCCGACGATCCTGTCGCTCAAGATCTCGACGGCGACGCGCAACGCCGCCGCGGGCTCCAACGTCTCGCTCTCCCTCAGCTGGTGGGACGAGTACATCCACCTGACGGGCAAGAGCCCCTGGGCGCTGGCGAACCTGCCCCGCCTCAGCCTGACGGGTTACCTCGAGGAGATTGACGACGACGACACGGACCCAAAGGCCCTCGAGACCTGCTTCGTCCGGAAACACAGGGACAGCGTCATGTGGCTGCCCGGCCGCAAGTGGGCCGCCCACGAGAGCATCTGGACCCGCTTGGTGGTGACCCAGGCCTACTGGATCGGCGGCTTTGGCGACAGGAATTACATTGGCTGGTTCGACCCCGAGGAGTGGCGGTCCGTCAAGAAGGAGCAGTGGGAGGCCGTCAGGTTGCCGGGGGAGAAGGCATAATACACCAGAATGACAGATATAACAGATATAAAAAGGATTCGACCTGGGGGGAAGGGAGAGAGTTAGTTGTGAGCAAGCAAACCCAATATATGAACAGAACTGTGGGGTAACGGATGCAAGAAACATGTCTCCGACGTGATCACAGAAAGGCTGCTTTGAGAAGGAGAATATTAATTCAGTTTTATTCCTGCTAGTTCTGTCTGCCGGTACTATCAACCACCTCCAGTCCTCAGAGGTCGAGGTCGAGGTCGATGGTGAATCATATTGTAATACACTAGGATAGAATACTTGTGTATCACAGGAAAGTGGGGGATCCCCCTGCTTGGGATTGATCTTCTGTTCATCCTTCACAATCGGCACGGTCGAGAGCTGCTTCTGCCAACACATTGCCATCTATTTCTTCTCGCCGGAAATGCTGTTTGCAAGGTCTGAGACTATTGTCAGCTCGGGCATGTTCAAGTAAGGTCTTGGTGAGAGAGAGGTAGGTATGTATACCGGATGCAGCTTTGCTAGCGCTGTTCAGAACATTGGCAGTCATCTCCTGGGCCTGTTGGAGATACGTCTTGCTCGACTCCTGCGCGGCGGAAGCGTTGGAGCTGGCTGTCTGGCCGACCGACGAAGCAGTATCCTGTGCCTGTTGCAGGTATTCCTTGCCTGACTCCTGTGCAGCGCCGGCGGTGGAGCTGGCCTGCTGGCCCAACGTGGAGGCAGTCTCTTGGATGTTCTTTGTGGCACCGGCCAGAGTGTCTTGGGCAGAGCTGGACTTGGCCGAAGTCTCATCGGCGAGCTTCTGGGTGGTCGACTTGCTGTCCCCTGTTTGGCCGAGTCAGTGAGAGAAACAGGTATAAAGAGATGAGCTGGCCAAAGTTACCTGGTTGGACCATTCCTGCAATGTCGTCGGCAGTCCCGGTGGCAGACTCTTTGGCCTTGTCCAAGGTGGACTTCTGAGAGTCGGGCGTGAGCTTCTCTTGAGCCTCTGTAGATCAATGGGTTAGGATGCCGGAACACTCGAGTTTGGAGAAGAGGGAGAGGGGAATTGCACGAACGATCTGTCAAGGGCTTGCGGCCTGTGTCAGACATGATGCACGACTATCTGGTCAAAGGATCTGGTAGATTGAGGCTGTGGCTTGTGCTTGCGTGAGGTATGTGCTCAAAGCAAAAGTGAATCAGTGAAATAGACTTGACAGTGGAGTTGCTGCAATGGGAAGAGAGTAAAGGTTGAGAAAAGGCGGCATGTAGGTCAAGGATTGCCTTTTAAGCTTTTCGTCACGGATCAAAGCAGCAGAGACAATAAGAACACATGCCACCAGTTGCTGGAGGCACCAGAGGAAGTCGAGAGATGGTCTCATAGAGTGGGGGGTTTGGCGCAGTCACCAAGGCTGGCATAAACTTTGACGTCATCGATTTTCAGCAGCAACTGCATCAATTGCACATGATCCACGAACCACGAACCACGAGTGATATCAACAATACTTTGTTCGTTCAGTGCTCCTATCTCAAGCAACCATGTCAGTAAACAGTGAAAGCCAGCAAGTCTCATTGAAGTTTGTCTCTCTTGCAAGCATCGCGACCTCCCTTGATAGACCAAAACAAACCAGACCTGGGGGTATCCGCTCGCTGAATCTATTCAATAGCAAAATGAGTGCTTGATGCATGTGCGCACTGTGTCGTCCCCTCTTCCTCATTACTTCAATGTCGACGCCATGCTTTTGAGTGCCTAAGGTTGCGTGTTCAATTGGTTGTCTTCCGCTCCCTTGACGTTCATCCAGATCCCCCAAAGCTCACTGCGCTGCGGGCTCATCCTCGAGTGACGGCTGTCTTCCGGCAGAATTGAGAGCTGCGCCTTTCCCACCGTATTCTTCCGGCAGCATCTCTCCCAATCCTTTCACCTTGCTGCTCGTCACCATCTCGCGGGCGAGATTGGCGCCATTACTCATGGGGTGGAACTTCTTGATGGTCTTTGCAGCCACGAACAGTTTCATGAACGTGTAGATAAAACCCATGAATGCAGGAACATTCACAAAGAACTTTTCTTTGAGCAACTCGGGGTAGTTTTGCGCAAAGATCTTGATCGTCTCGGTGCTGGCGGCCTTCACAACGGCAGACTGGCGAAGGAAGCTGATCGACTTGTAATCGTGCACCTGAAGGATCTTGTATGGGTCGTAGGTTGCAGTGATGGGTTTGGTGGCCTTGTCGATTCCGAGGGCTTGGAGTGCGTCCTCCATGAGGGCAACTCGCCATTCGATAAATCTAAGAAAGCCACCGAGTCAGTCGAGACGGAAGAATCTTGCGGGATACTCAATCTTACTCAGCCAGGTTTCCGAATGTCTCATCCAGATTCTTCACGCTTCCGTATATATTCCAAGTGAACACCTCCCTAGTCTCAGGATCGGCTGTCGGATCGGCATCACCGTAGACGGTAGTGTACCCCAGCCCGGCGAACTTGTTTCGGTTGAATTTCTTCTTGAGCAGTTCAACCGGTTTCATCTTGGCTCTCCAGTCCAGGGTCTTGGTAAGGGTGTCCTTGGATTTTGCAAGATCTCCATCATAGGCATTCAGATACTTCTGCAAGATCACCTGGGTCGGGACGTGGGTTGCCGGGTCTGCGAGGGTGACTCCCCAAATCTCAGGATGACCGTGAGCCTGTGCGAGGGCCCACAGTTCCTCGATTGGAGTGGCCTTCTTTTCCACGGGGACGTCAACGTCTGGTGCTTTCTCGGCCACGACCGGAGTTTCTGTGGCGGGAGGGGCGGACTCCTGAATGATCATCAGCGTTCCATCTAACACAAAGAGTCGACAGATCGACAACTCATACCGTTGGGGCAGGTGTTTCGGTGGCAGGCTTCGTCTCTGTGGCAGGTGCTTCTGCGGCAGGAGTTTCTGTAGCAGGCTTTGTCTCTGTGCTGTCTGGAACAACAGTAGAAACTTCGGCCGGCAGCGCAGTGCTGTTGGGCGCTGCGGTTGTTGCTTCGGGAGTGGCCATTGGGACGGAATAACAGGTCGCGCAGCTGCAGGGAACAATGACAAAGTCGGCCGAGCAGTGAGGAATTTATCAGTGGATGCTGCTCACAGATTAGCTTTCGAAAAGCCGATCGATTTGGTTCGAATGGGCAGTTGAAGATCCAAGCTGATCGACTGCGAAGGAATCGAGGTTTGTTTACCCTGTCCGCAAAAGGAATCCTTCAAGGTCAATGTCAAAATCACAGATATCCGCACCCGTGGTATCAATAGGACAATTCCAAGACTCGTGCTGGGTATTTCAGCGCTATTGAAAAGGAGAAAATCTATTCACCGAGAGATAGAACTTGATCGAATGAGTCTCGATGTTGGTCGAAGCAAGCACAACTTCCCCCATATTCTAGTTGCGTGATCTAATCAGATAGCCGGAACGCCAAGCCACTACGAACCGTTCCTAATTCCGGTAAACCCCGAGCACAGCCGAAATGTCCTTTTGCCCATGGGAAATGCTGCTTCATGACCAGCAAAGAGACAACATACTTATTCTTGTGTACAACATGTTTCATGGGGCAAATCCGAGTCATAGGTCAAGATTTCTAGTATTCGGTCATTTGTATCTCTAAAATTGTGTCCAACTTAGTGGTCTGTTCAACAGCCTCCAATGACAGACCGAAATTCATGTCACCAAACAACTTCGATGAGGGTTTCCAAACACTGTATCCCAGTTCCTCCTCCACATCGATCTCGAGACGTATATTTCGTTTCGAAACGTGTCGTCGAGGCCCCTTCGCCCAGCCATCTATTCATTAGCCCTCTGCCGATTCAGACGTTCAAAAGCTGGTTTCCTTCTCCCAAAAACAAAATCAAGTGCGCACTTCTGCCCGAGGCTCTATATATTCTTCAAGCATATCGAGACAGACGCGGTGATATCACTGTTGTAAATCGACAAAATCACAATTTGCACTTGGACGGCAAAGTCCCCTCCATTATATTCTTGCTCGTCGAGACACCAACCAATCCACCGCGAAGAAAAGGTCTGACCACCCGGGAGATATCCTGTCGTACAAGCTTTGGTTGCCTGTTCTCCTTTGCTTTCCGACAATGAAAGGCGGCCCAGACACATAACAATAGAAAAGTCGGAGATTCGTTTATCGCATTGTCGTCAAATCGTGCAGCTGGAGTAGGAGTTTGGTATGTTGTCGGAGCAAGACATGGCAAAACAGGTCTATGTGCAACACAAAATAGCGAAAAGAAAACTGGACGCGGGCCGATATTCCCGAGATTTCGATCCGCGCCAAAGCCACCGGGACATGAAGACACGGTAAAAATGGAGTCGAGTTTCATCACAAACTCATAGTCAGCCATTCCCATTCTTGGCTGTTCCCATGCGGACCGCTACCCATATTCGCAACACCGGAGTTGAGCAGACCTCCCTGCATCACCGATGCCATTGTGGTGGCTCCTGCGGTCGAAGACATACTGGCCGCCTTGGCCCGGGTAACGGGGGCTTGAGTGACCCTGGGGGTCGACTGGCTAGTGTCGTGCATTTCCGCCTCATTTGTCGGACCACTGCTTCCGGGGATAACGGGCAATGTGTTGGTTGACGCCCGTGACTGCCGTCGCTGGCGTTTCGGTGTCACCTGAACCGGTCTGGTCATGTTGGGACCAGGCTGGACAGGGGGCTTGGGTGGTGCCGCGGCGATTGGTACGACCCCAGGTTTTCCTCCAGTGGTGCCAGGTGGATAGCTGGTGGGTGTCGTCACAGCCGATCCCGAGTGCACAGAGCCCTGCACAGAAGACGGGGATGCCGAATTCTGCTCGCTGGCAGCATTGCCAGAAGTCGGTGTAGTTGCTGGTGTCTGCTGCACTGAATTCTTACGAGAGGCTTTTTTGGATGCTCTGGTGGCCGCAGACCCTATGGGCACCGTATTTCCGCTACCACGATTTCGTTTCTTGATAACATCGGTCTTCAGCGACAAAGGGCGCACAACACCATGCAGTTTGAGAAACAATCCACACGCATTGCACAGCGGGTGACCTTCTGGGTTTCGACGCCAGAGAGGTGTAGTCTGGGTAAAACAGTTGGTGCAGGTCGTTGGAACACCATTTTGATCCGTGTTCTTAGGTCCAGGGCTGCCTGGTCTCGACGGTTGTCGACTGCTAAAGCCAGACTCACCGGGCGAACTACCAGTAGACTGCATATGCTGGTTGGATAGAGCTGGAGTCGAAGTTGTTCGAGGAATCTTCTGTCTCCTGGGGTCTTGGTCGCGATTCCGAATGTCGCTGATTGAGGCAGCTGAACCATGTGTGCGACTGAGCATCGACGAACCCCAATCCGGAGGGGAATTGACCATTTCCGCTCCTCCAATTCTCACCTGTTTCCCCGGAGCGCTGCCGAATCGCTGCATGCTACTGTAATCGGCAACATTGGGATCCCATTGTAAACCCGAGCTTAGGTCCAATGTTGGGTCGCTAATCTGGCCATATTCAGATTGGATCATTGCGAAATTGGCGTCCTCATCTTCCGCATCAGAATCGGCGCCGAACTGGAACAAGTTGTCATTTCCGGCCACAGAAATTCCTGGAGAGACTCGTCGTCCATATTCCGGCACCAGCACCCGGGAAGGATCAACGTGTTGCTGCATCGAAAACCCAGTTGCCGTCTGTGTCGAAGCTACCCCGTTCATTAGGGAATACACTTGTTCATTGTTGGATCCGTACGCAAACTGCGGTGCCGAGGGGGTCATCAAATGGTTCCCTCGGTGAGATGGATAAAAAGGCATGGTCCGTGTGTGGCCACTATGGTCAAAGTAAAATCCCTGACCATCTACTTCGTGGCCCGGCTGGGGCGTTGAAACAGCAGAAGCATAACCGGATTGAGGCGGGGAATAAAAGTCCGCCGAGTTTAAGGACGAAGCCATTGATGATTGCGTATACACATTCGAGAACGGCCCGTTGGTGACCATGGGCGAGGCGGCGGGGGAAAACGCAAAGTTTTGTTGGAATGGCCCAGCTGATGTTAGAATTGGGTCGTCGCTCAGGTGGAAAGAATCTAGGTGAAGAGACATTGACCCTGGAAAGCTAGGTTGGCCCGGGAATTGGGCTGCTGATGATTGATCAAG